TATTTTCAGAGCTTTATATTTCATCCTTTCAGGCATCCCTCTATTGATTTTTGAAGGTTAACTGTATCTCGAAGAGAGGGTCACATATTCACCTTGTTGATTTTGGAACAATCGAGAAAAAACAGAGACGGCCCTAGACAAAACAGATAACTTGGTAAAAATGTTGAAGTATTTCAACAAATACATTTAACGAAAATAGGTGTTTTGTCTTTTATCTTGTTTTGGCACAAACACTATTAGGAATCGGACATTTAGCAAAAATAAGTTATATGACTCTTTTATGGTTTTGGTAGACACATTACCCACATAGCACATGAGCATTTCTTGGACGTCTAAAAGACGTTATTCAGTGACATAAAGGACGTCCGATGCCGTCCTCTTCTGATACCGGGACATAAAACGGACTTTCAATAAATATTATAATGTCTTGTTTACCCAAAAGGACGTTATACTCTATAAAGGGTAATAATAACAGAAATGATAACAATAAGAGGGCTTTATTTAACAACTTTTATCCTGAAAATGAACTAGAGTTAAAGGTTTTAGTTTACCAAAAAAAAAAAACAACAGGAATGAAAATTAAATTTAACACACAGTGCTAGTAAGATTAAATCTTGTGTCCTGCTTGTAGCTTGTGTTGGCATAACTGAGTTTTATAATTTTGTCAAAATTAGGTTTGTTTCGACTTTCCACTATTAGGGTATTTTCTTTCCATCAGCGCTACCGCCAACACAGATCATTTATTCTCACCTCAATACAAAACACTCACTTCAACCACTTTACCACCAATACCAAAAAAATACCAAGTAACATTTTATAACCTTTTTTCTTTTTAGTTACTCTAACTCACTTATATCAACTATATAAGCTGTTGTTGTTCATTCGAAAATAAATGATAGGGTAGGTTTTCTGTCCTTTTCCTTCTCTTGCAAAAACGAAACGTTGAATTTTAAGTTATCCATTTAATGACCAACGATGTCGTTACAGAAAAAGTCGCATAGAAGTTTTATGGACGTCACATGGACGTTCCATTAACGTCTTAGATTTGGACCGAAAACTGAACGTTTTGTCGAAACAGGATCAAAATAGGACGTCCTAGTGTTCGCGGTAATCAAAAGTCCAGTCGACGGTCCTGGAATAGCAAAGGAACAAATCAGGACGTCTATGGGACATCCTGTGCTATCTGGGCATTAGCAGTTAAACACAATTTTTCGGTATAAATGTAACTCATCTTGTTTGTGTATATTGTGAATGTATTAATATGAAGTTAGTTTTTATTGGCCATTTATTTATCATGAATATAGACTTCGGTCAACTTGTCTTGTTCATGCTGTATATTATTTGAAGTATTTTGGAGACAAAAGTGTACTTAACTCCAAATGGCCAAAAATGGAGTAATTTTGTTTTTGCACTATCTCCACAACCCAAACGTTTATTTAAAAATTTAGCGTGATATTTAACGCAGTGACCGATTAATGTTTTTGCGCCTTTCGCTCACGATTTTAGAAACAGAAACCTATTGTTTTAAAAAGCACCTTCTTAATAGTGTTCTGGGCCGCAAAAAAATCTTGGAGGGCCGCATGCGGCCCGCGGGCCCCAGTTTGAGTATGACTGTTCTAGTGTATTAAAGAATATGGTTAATTTTCCTATTGCTTATTTTTTCAATATTTATTTCAAATTTGGTGTAATTTTATTGCCTAAGGTAGTTTTTTTAATTAGCCAACATCATGTTAGTGTATTAATATGGTTAATTTTTTTAGTTTAAATAAATTATTATCACTATTATTAGTTGATCAATATTGTTAATTAATTAATACATTTAAATCATTGTTTTCTTGCTTCTACAAATAGAGCTTCGCCATTTTTCATTTTCTCTTACCCAATGCCGTGTCAGAAGATAAAGTTCTAAACTTCAAAACCAGTCTCATATGAAAATACATATCATTAACAAATACAAAAGTCTTTTCTTTCTTGCCCTTTTAATTAACAAATGAATAATATAAATATGTCAAAGTAGTCCCCTAGTAAATAACTTTAATTTTACGAATATGTTAGTTAAAAAGTTAAATAAATATAAATTATCAAATCCCTTTACAATATTTTACAGACATGCTGGAGAGGTTACGAACAAACAAAAACCTATATATTATTTTCACAAATGTCCACTGTCTCAAAAATAAGAATCTTATAAACATAAGTAATCCTACACTGACAAATATAAAAAATATATTTTTACTTAAATAAATATTTGTTTCCTTTGATCCAAATCTAATATTTATTCGATAAATTTTAAGGAGTTGTTTGTTGTATAAATCCTTAATTGATTTGAGATAAATAAATTAACATTCCATTATAATAAACTATTAGTCAAATTAAACAAATGTATATTTATCCTAATCACCAAACTGGAAAAATGAAATAAATAATTACTTGCTTTGAATGTTATAAAAATAAATATTTATTTAATCTGATTCATCTTGTGGAAAAATCACACACATATTTATTCCCTAAATCTTGTTAAGTGTTAAATTCAAAGACATAATTATTTATTTAAATTTAAATATCTTTTGGAAAATTCAAACTAATATTTATTGCAAGAAAAATACTTTAAAATATTTATTGGATTTTTCTACCTCAGTAGTAACCTCATAAAAATATTTATTTATTTTAAATATCCTATAAATAAATATATAATTATTAATAAGCACCTGTTGGAAAAATCAAATAAATATTTATTTTTTAAAACTTTTTAAAAGCCAAAATCAAGCAAATATTTATTTCATAATACTCTCTTGCAAGCAAAAATTAAGTAAATATATAGTCGGTCTCTTCTAAAAATAACTACAACTACACATATATCTAGTAAAAAATAAATCATTAGGTATATAATTGTTCGTGTACATTGACTCACAGATAATTATTTGCTAAGAGGTACTTCTCTAATATTTGCCAGTGTTAGTCAATTTTAGCCAAACACAAATCTTTTTATAAATGAGAGCGTCGGGCAATCGTAGAGGATATGCTTAATGGTATCATCTTTTTGTTTGCACGTCCTGTAGAGTGTAGATTATGAGAGCTCCATGATATGAAGATGCTTCCGTAGTTGGCAATGTCCAGACAGAATGCCGGTGATCATGCGCAGATTCTGTCAAGTCATAGTTAGGTATTTGTTCGCTGTAGTGTTGTTAGGATAATTTTAAAGCTCCCTGGCAAGTCTGCAGCTTCTTGTTTTATCCAATGTTTCCTTGAATTTCTCAAGTAAATGTTCCTTAATTAGACCTGTTACTACCGCTTTTGACCAATAAGTATTTAGTTGGCTGCCTTCTTGGCAAGTAAATCAGCAAGACAGTTACCTTGCAATGTAGAGTGACCTCAGATCCATCTTAAGTTAAACACATTGTTAAAGGATACTTCGCTTCGAGACATTTTAGTATTATTCCTGAATTAATTCGCGGTCTGTCCAGGGTGTGAAGTGCTGTCTGTAGAGCATATTTCTTCCAGTGATATTGTTTCTGGTTATTTCTTTTTTTGCTATGAGAATTATCGTAAGCTCAATTTAAACTGCACTGGCACTACTACTCACAGCCCATTTTATGTTTAGGTTTATGGATCTAGAGTGTATTCCACATCTTGATCCTTGTTTTGTTATAGAACCGTCGGTGCAGATATGAATCGTACCTGCCACTTCCGGCTCTTCTATTTAATCTAATGTAACGTTATATGGCTTAAAGAAGATATATCTCGGTGAGATGGAGTACACGTTCGCTTGAAGCGTATCGAGCGCCTTCTGCCAAAAACAAAATCTCGCCTTACCAGATCCTACTTTAGATTCTATTCTAACCACGCGGAGTATCATTGTAATCAGAGCAACCTCCTTGATGTTAATATTGAAGAAAGTGAGTCTAGGAATGACTTTCATGGCTGTAACAAAATGTAAATAAGCTCTGATTAGCTATACTAAAGTCTTTTTGCCAATAAATATTTATTTGATTCAAACAAATGCAATGCTTATTTCCAAATAATCTGCTATTTATTCTATCATTTTAATAAAATGATTTATTTTCATTGATATTTTAATGTCGTGATCCAAAAAATAAAAAAAGTTGTTGAAAATATTAATTTTTGTCTGTCAAACAAATTTATTTCAGGAGAACAAATTTATTTCAAGTTAGTAAATAAACAATTGTGAACAATAATTTAAAACAAATTAAAATGTATATTCAAACAACTGGAATTTCTTCACATATAAATGGGAGTTTTGGATAAAACAAAATTTGTTATTCATAAACAGATTTTAAATAAATAAATATCTAGTATCTTTTGATTTTATTATTTGATACAGAATACAGCAATGTATTTAACTTTAGCATAGTTATTTTTTACTTTAAAGGTTACGATATTTTACTGAAATAATGTATAATTTTAAGTAAATTTACAAGAAAAAACAAATAACTTGAGGTATTTTAAACAAATAAATTTATGTTAATTTGACTAATATTCATTTACTACCAAATAAATATTGGACAAAAAAATTATTTATTAAAAAAACTCACTGTTTTATCTTTGTAACAAATACAGCAACGCTTTTGTTCCGTTTATTATGGATTTTTGAGAAAATATGTTATTTAGGTTTGTGTTTTCTCTCGACCAACAAGTCTGTAAAATAATGTTGTGAATGGTTAAGGTAATACCCTGTATAGGTGTACTTTTAAAATTTTAAATTAAATCGTTTCCATTTATCAATTTATTCTGTATATATTTTTAATAATTTAAAAAACTAAAAAAAATAATTTGTTAAAGATCTTTTATATTTTAGTAGCTATATATTTACTCTTATTAACGTAAACTTATATATTGGTGAAAGAAAATTTAAACTTAAATCAAACTATGACACCCATTTACTTTGATTCCTAAAGTTTCATTTTTTTTGTGTAATATAAAATTTTTAATCAAACTTTTTCCAATAGTTTTTAAACTTATAGTTATGTTTTAATTTTTAGGCCAAATTTACAAGTATATTCACATCTGCCAAAATGAAGTACTTTTTTTCTACCATAAAAAAATGCAGTGATGAATTAAGAACCAATTTGGAAGTCATTGCGAAAGATGATAATGCAGATGTTGATATTTACGAAATTCTGGCTTGCTACTTTACGGATGTGATAGGTACGTATACCTAGAAACAAGTCATATGGTAACTAAAATCTGCCATAAGTTAAATAAGCTCATGACATTTAGGTTTCCTAATTTTTATTTTTTAAATGTTTATTATTAACTTATAGGATCGGTCACTTATGGTGTCGAGGCCAACAGTTTCAAATCTCGAGACGCCATTTTCAGGAAATTAGGACGGGATATATTTGAATACTTTACGGTACCGTTCCAAATTAATTTATTCTTAACCATTTGTTACCCAAAAATAGCCAAAAATTTTAATATGGGTAGCTTCCAACCTCAGATTGAAAAATTCTTCAGAAAGTTTGTACCGGAAGCTCTCGAACACAGAATCAAGAACAATATACACAGAGCGGATTTCCTGCAGTTATTGATAGAAATGAAAAATTCTGGAATTGACTTGACAGAAGATGAAATGGTTGCACAGGTAATTTACTTAAATACTTTACTGGTACTAATTTAAAGGATTTCGATTTGTTATCTTATCGATGGCCTAGAAGCAATACCTCGTAAGTACAAAAAAAATCAAAAATCAGGATTTAAGCTCCACTATACTGATCTAAACTCTCTTTATCAGCGAACAGAAGCATGTGTAGCGACCAACCAATAGAGTTCTGGATTTAATCATATGCCAATACCTCGCGCTAAAAATTTGCTTGCAATTCCTTGTGTTTATTTTGCAATGGTGGTAAACACTTGAAATTTCTTTTAGTGAGTTTGTGTGATATTCTCGAGGTAAGTTGTGATTTTTTTTTAAATTCTGTTCAATAATTTGACAAAGGGATTCTAGGTTATGAACTGTTGATTAATTACATTTTAAAATTAATTATTTTATTTAATATTCGATGTTTCTTTTGTATACGCGGTATTGCAAATTCTTAAAAATTAAGAAATGTTGATTATGCTTTTACGTACGACGTAAGGTAGTGGCTTTTATTATTGAATAAATAATACCATCTAACGATTATTTTTAGAGTAACATAAATGCAAATATATCTTTTTTATAATCCCTAAATTATTAAAATTCTTATTTTTCTTGTCATTTTCACTTCTTAATTTTCTTCTATTGGTTTTAATTTAATATTTTTACTCTAATAATTTAAAATATAATAAAATTTAAAGACATTCGTTAAACAAAATGAATAGCAAGATAATAGTGCTGCTCAGTATCCACTAGAAAATCTGCCTATCGAATTTTAGGATGGAGTCCTATTTAAAGGTGATTCGACGATTATTTACAGTAATACTCCTAACGACAACATCCCTAATCAAAGCGTCATTAGTTTAGAATCAAATATAATTTTAAAATGCAATACTTCTGTTTCTTTAAATATTGCAAATGATGTAATTTTCCTAAATGAGCAGAGATCCGACACGCTTGAAAATCTAACTCCCTCTGAGAATTATTGTTCATTCGATGTTAGTCATATCTTTATCAACGAACATGAAAACAAAATTATAAGTCTGGGCAATAACATAAAATTAGATGATTGCATATTATTAGAAAATTATGGAAAGTATCCAGACTCTACAATTGAAGCAGAAATTAATGGCAAAAATGAAAAACCGACACCAATCGAAAGAACACCAAAAAAAGATTTACTTGAAAATGTAAACCATGTTAACGTAATGAATCTGGATTTTGTATTAAGTAACAGAGAATATAAGATTATCTAATAGTGAAGTTGTGAATAAGCGCAAAAAGAATAGAAGCCAGAACGAAGATTTGGATCAAGAAAATAAGTCTATAGAAGCAGCAAAGGAGCAAAGAAAATAGATTTAGACAAAAATAAATGGAAAAGAACAAAAAATAAAATTAAGCGAATGAAAGAAGAAGAATATCTAGGATATACCAGAAAAAATAAAAAATTAAAACAACAAAATTAGAAGCGAAAGAGACATAAAATAAAGATGCGATGGTAAACACTGGTAAAAAACAAAAGTATATTTATGCAATAACGTGACGAACGAAAAACGAAATAAAATATTTGAAAATTTCTGGAAAGATTTAACATGAGACCAAAACAAAAAATGTTTGGTATTAACAATGTTGAAAAAGCAGAACCAAAAAGAAGAAAAACTGAATATAAGGAAACACAGAAATCAAATAGCTCATTTTACTATTTGAGAATAGATGGTCAACCGCTTAGAGTCTGTAAAAAGATGTTCCTAAATACATTATGCATTGGAGAATGGAGTGTAAGAAACTAATGAACAATGAAGAAAACGGAATAGTAGCATGATCGGCTGAAGAGAATGACAGAAGGAGAAACAGTCAAGAACCTAAATTATGCGAGAAAATCGGTTTGACAAATTACCAAAAATTCCATCATATTATGCAAGAGCTGATAGTAAAAAGGAATATATCGAAGATAATATCGTTAAAAATAAATCGCAGCTGTATAAAATGTACGTAGAATGTTATGAAGGAAAACCTCTTAGTACTTTTTTATTTAATGAGTTATTTAAAAGAAAGAATTTAGGGATCTTCCAAAAGATCAATGCGATATGTGCTGTAGTTTTAAGACTGGTAACATTGATCAGAAAGAATATAAGGTGCACATTGTATCTAAAGACCGAGCCAGAATTAAAAAGCAAATCGACAAAGAACAATCTATCAAACAAAATTGCTATCTACTAACCATGGATCTTCAGGCTGTTCAACTGTTTCCCAGAATGTACGCTTCTGCGCTTTATTATAAACAAAAACAAAACATAACTTTAAAATGTACAACCTGTCAACACACCAATCAACAAATTTTTGGTGTCACGAATGCGAAGGGAAGCTTGAAGCTTTAAATTTTGCAAGTTGCATTATAGATTATCTGAAAAACAGTTTAGCCAATCTAGTTTATCCATAATAATATACAGCGACGGGTGTAAGTACCAGAATAAAAACGCTGTCCTTTCAAATGTTTTATTAACCTTTTCTGTTGCTAATAAAATAAATTGTAGAGCAAAAATATCTCGTTAGGGGTCACACGCAGATGGAGTGTGACAGCGTGCATAGTCTAATAGAACGAAATCTGGAAAAAGGAAGATTTATTTATCCATAACCAAGCATGCTCGTAAAAATCCATTTTCCCTAGATGCAAAATATTTGCACCATGATTTTTTAAATACTTTAGCGATCCATTGTTTTAGTGATATTTTTCTATAAAACCACCTGGGGCTACAGTTTCCAAAATAAAAGCTCTAAAATATACACCAGAGTGTCTTATATATTTTTATTCTGATTATATATTATATGCCTTTAAGAAAAATAGAATCTGTTTCTTTAAATAGTGTAAATTATGAAAATCTTTACTCCTCTAAACCCAAAATTTCTCTTGAAAAATACGAACAGCTTCTTGCTCTGACAAAAGTTATGGATACAGATTACCACGATTTTTATAAAAATTCACCTCATGCAGTTTCTAAAAAAACTAAAGTTTAATGGTCAATTTCGAAATATTTAAGATTTTTCCTCTTTTTCTGTTTTTGTTACCATTGTACCTACTTAGTTTAATTCTTAAAACATTATTATAAGAAATAAGCAGTTTATTTTTTGTGTTTTTTTTTTAATCCGAATGTGAAACTAACTCACATTGTAACATTTTTACACCCATTTAAGGGCAACTGCAATATCTCTTAAATACAAAAACTGAAAAAAGAAGAAAATCAATAACACGTATGTGCTTAAAAAATCGAAAAAAGATTTAAGGCTCAAAACAGTAAAAATACCGTAGATTATATCGAAAGTAACGTTGTGACATAAGTTGATTAATAAAAGGTATAATAATATAACGTGTTTTCTTCATAACCACAAATTTTGACAAATGTACTTACGTGATATTGCTTCTAAGCCGTCGTTATGCTGTTTCTACTTTATTCCTACTCCATCCTGCTTCAACATCGTAATTATTAATCTCGTGGGTTTAGCTATCACTTAAATTAAAACTTTTTTCTATCTACAAACTCTCTCTAATTATATAAATCCAGCTCTGCACTAGAACATTCTTGGCCATTTAAAAACTCCAATATTTCTTCATCTATGACTCGCGCAACGCTTTCTCTGGAAACTTCTTAAAGTAGTGCGTTTGTCTCTGTCCTGTGGTACCGAAACAAACGAAGCGACAGCTGTAATAATAAAGACGATTAGAGTCGGCTTTAGGTGGTTCACGATATTATACTATAATGCAGAGCATAAAAATAATGTACCAATTACAAATAACTGCTACATGGTTGGTGTAAATCGGACGGTAGCGTGCCTTACGGGCTCGCATTCATTTTCAAGCAATTTTGTGATCAAGAGATACATTGACTTCGAATCCTACTGATGATCATGTACATTTTTAATTAATTTGAATGGTTCTGTAAAGGATTTGATGGATGACGTATTAGCAGAAATTTAATATTTGTTGATATGACATCCAGATTTTAAAAATCGATATGCGTTACTGTTTCAAAGATGGTAAGTGGCGTTTTCCTCATCTGTACGTCAAATGGCACCTAGAGTCATCTTTAAGTCGCCCTGGAGCGCCACGGCAAATAATAATAATAGGCGTCCCTTCTGAGGTTAAAATTCACTCGTAAAGAGGAGAATTAGTGAGATTATTGATATTATTTATTAATCTGGAGATAGTCACTGGCAGTTTTTTAATTCTTTTATAAAGTACAACATGTCGACATATACAATCTTACTTGCTGTATGGGTATTGCAAATTATTAGCCTTTAAAGAAGTCTGGAGTTGCTAACGAACCATGATAAAGATCTACTTTGCGGTCCCTCTTATGATTGAAAGGTTAAGAGTGCTTGGAACATAAATGATAATTTTTTGTATTAAAATTTATCTGCACGGCCACAGGTCGAATTTTAGGGAGGAAAGGTAGCATTGCCTATAACAATTTCCTTTTTGCCATATTTTTTTTATTAAAAGGCTCATGGAATGATAAATTTTAAAGCAGGAGGGGGGCGTAGCCTCCTGGAACCCATCTTTAAGTTGCTCTTGTACCCTTTTTAACTAACCTCTAACTATCGAGGAAATAAAAAAAAAGTCATTTTAAATCCTTTGCTTTGATTGTTAACTGTTACATCCATAAATTGCGTACCCTCTAATAATTAAGAGGTCTTGTTTTCTTTCTACCTAATAATAATGAATAATAATAATGCTTATTCTTCTTAAAAACATACAAATATAATATAAAATAACAATATAAAGTACAAAGAATGAACAAACATAAATAATTACAAAAGTAGTTTTAGACCACTTGTATGTGATATAATATTTAAATAGAAATAAAAAAAAAAACAGAAACGAAAATATATGTAAAACAGTTTTTTTTTAAATATGTTCCATTATCGGAATGAATTTGTTTCTAAATAAATATATTGTTTCGATTATTTTTTTTAAATTTTTGTTTTTTACCGTTTATCTATTGGGTATA